TTCATCTTCTATGGCCTTAGAACAGCGGTCTTCAAACTGCGTGCCTGGCTGAGGAATTCTGGGAGTTGAAGTCCACAAGTTGAAGTCCACAAGTCATAAAACTGCCAAGTTTGAAGACCTCTGGCTTAGAAGATTGAAATAACAAAATGCAAGAAAAATCTTAAACACACATACAAACCTATTAGGGAATTTTTCACTCCCAAAACCATGAAGCTACTCCAGTGAAGCAACTGAATTTTGGCAGTACCATCTAGTGGTATTCCAGAGGTTCAGTTATTGTTATTACTTAAGATTTATATCTTTCTATAGGACCCAGCGTGGTTTATGTGGAGATTCTCCTTCATTTCTTCCTTACAAGCCCTGCCTTGTGATGTAAGTTGGTCTAAGAGGAAATGATTGCCTCAAATCACTCAACACATTTCCATGGTTGTGATGTACCTGAGTCTCCCTGCTCCAAATTCACCAGGGCCAGCAAAGAGATAATGGTCAGCCTTATTTTGAAAGACTCTTCTTTTTCCTAGTGTTATTCCCACATTAAGGCAGGGTCTGTTCCTTTTTTCGAAAGACTGAAGTGCTTTAAGATCAGTGTGAATTGACTGACTGAAAAAGACTTTCATTCTTACCTTTATAGTAACCTGAAAAGATTCATGTAGTAGCTCAGAAAAACATCAGTCAATTCACACTTGTCTTATTCAGCCTTCTAATCAAACCTTTCCTGATCAGAAGTCCTCTGTGATATCATAATTCTCAGGCAATTCAGTCTGGCTGGAAATCTTAGGCCCTGTATTCCCAAATTTTTGTTTCTGATTTCTGGCAGGGCAACAACTAAAGGGAGACATCCAGATTAGGAAGTTCTGAAGTTTCCATTACATCAACTGCCACCAAACAAGACTATATTCAGCAGAAGAACCAAAAGTTGAACTTTAAACAACAACCAGGTTCAAGAACTCTGTTGATATGGAGTTCAGAGTGTGGTTGTGTAAGGCACATATGATTTCTTGTATCTTCATTTCTTTTCCTGGAAGGCTGGCTAAGTGAGCAATGAGAATAAATGAAATCCAAATGAAGGCAAGAAATTATGTTTGATCATAACCAGAAACAGTTCTGCTGGCATGCAGAATGAGTGAATTCTTGAATCTTCGATCAGGCTATTCAAAATAGATTCTGCATCTGTCAGCCTGGAATCCTAGTGGAAAAAAGAAATAGGAAAAAAAAAAGCTTAAATAATAAAACAACAGCAGATTTTTAGAGGTATTAAAGAAATCGATTTTTGACCAGGGTTTATATGAGGCACCTAGCCCTGCAATATAGTGTTTTATGGAGTGCTTTGTTGAGGTAAAAACTGAAAGTTGATAAGTAGGATTGAAAAACCCTTTTAATGTAACCACTTTTTAAAAATTACAGTCCAAAATTTCATGAGGTCTTAGATATAGAAAGCAGATATGTTGCAAAACTCATCACCTTGACTACCATTTAACTTTTTAAATAACAACATAATAAACATTTTGGGCAGCAATAAACCATCTACAGCTGTAAAGATAGCAGGCCTCCCATTATAAATGTATTCAATTTTTATTTTTAATCATTGGGAATAGCCTTTTTCTCAGATAAAGTTTTCAAACTGGTTCTTCTTTGTGTGGAAAAAAATGCATTTGTCTTTCTTTAGTCTCCTATCTGCATTTAACCTTTCTTCCATCATACCTTCTTTCTTTAGTTTCCCTTTCCAGCATTCATGTTTCTTATATTTATTATTGATCCATGCAGGGCCACTAAGCAGTGTGTGGTATCACTGACTTTGTGTTTTTCTTTATCAGTAAAAGCTTTGGAATGTTTGAGGGTTCAAGAACTCCGTGAACCAGAATCACAAAAGGATAACCTGTCAAACCCAGGCTGTGAACTTCATCATTTCAGATCACATAATATTTCTGCAACAGGTAAATATTTGTGCTCTCTTCTCTTATAATTTTCCCATTTCCTTCTCCATTAGGTCAAGGGCATGTCTCTACCCTTTAGGTTTGCTGCATTGCAGCTATGTCTCAACAGTCCCCTGTTGTCTTGGACTAGGTTCACACATTTGTTTAACAATGGCTTGTTGAATAAACCATTGTTAGCTGGGCTTGCAGAACATGCTATTGCAAAAGCAAACAAACTGAATTAGAGTTTATTTAATGTGTGAGTCCAGAAATTCCTCATTTATTTTATATGCGTTTCTGAGTTCATTTAATTTATTCAATATTCAGGCGATATTCTTTGGATTAAGGAGTTTTAGTTATATTTAACAAGTATTGCTAATAGCTGAGCTTCTCTTTGAATAAGTGATATGAGATTGAATGTTCTTTTAGGCTGCCCCAAAAACTCTTATGATGTAGCATCTACTGAATTGAGGAGATTAACGCCTGTGTTATTTTATAAAGGTTGGAATAGAGTGGTATGTCTACCAAGTGTTACACTTGCAAAAGTGACCTATCCCTTTGGTGAGATCACACCGAGTGGCTTCCTACTTTCTCCCTGGTGGGGGGGAATGAGAGGCTGAGCTACTGGGAAACCCTGGCTTCAACAGTGCAGTGTTTCTCAGTGCAGTGTTTCTCAGCTTCAGCAACTTGATGATGTATGGACTTCAACTCCCAACATTCCCTTGCCAGCATGCGGGATAGGTATCTAGTGACACCCAAAAGATTGACAGATTTCTGATAGCATGGAAGAGTCCACAGATTACACATTGATGCCTCAAGGGCAAGATTTTGTGCAGCTCAAAATGAGAGAAGGGCTGGTTTACCAGGTTTCAAAGAAATGAAGCAATATAGATGGCCATCTTTGTTGTTAGTTGCGAAGTCGTGTCCGACCCATCGGGACCCCATGGACAATGTTCATCCAGGTCTGCCATCTTAAGAGGAGATAATTTACAATTAGGACCCTAGTCAGTAATGATCCATTTGCAGCCTTGGGTGCAGCCCTCTTCAATAACAATATTATTGTTTTCTCTTGTGAGTTGAGCATAGATATTTTCTTTTAGATCAAATTATGCTTACTCAAGAGCTAAGATGTTTGTCTTATCAACAACTTTTCTGTAAACCATTATCATTACAGTTGATAATGTGGCTTTCAATTTATTTGCTGCATTTCCTTTTCTTCTGACGTTAGTTATTTATTATCTTTTCCTCTTACTCAACCATTTGTGTGAATTTTAACACCAGAAGATGTTTCATGAATCGGAGCTGGAGTATAAAGCACCAAACCTGGAGTCTTAAGCAGCCAGCTGGGGGCCTTTCCTATTTTATATTAAATATAATGACTAAAAAGCTCAAGTTAGTTTGAATATGTTAAAGGACTTATTTTAAATTGTCCGTTAGAGAGTCAGAGCTATGCACAATCACTTCAATTAAAAAATTACTTTCATAGTCCCATGGATTTTGATGGATTGTACCCTCAAAGTGTTCAAGAACCATCAATGTGATGGATGCTGGGGGATTTTGGGAGTCAGTTCACACATCTTAAAGTGGCAAATTCAAAAAATACTGATTTAAAGAAATATTTCCCAATCTCCAGATAAGTTGGCTACGATTTCTGTACTTTTCAGTAATGCTGATTTGGATTTAAGGCATTGTAGGAAGCCTTATATGACGATAGTCCATCTTATTGTATAAAACCCACCAACTGTTTTGATGTATGTTTATTTTAAGATGCATGAAAATTAGTATCAGATTGCTGAAGAGCTGGACAATATGATTGATCAAAAAGAACTGTATTGTGTTATTGCTTGTATCTTTCAGGGGTAACAAATGGACCATTGGGTATTTCACACAATACTTCTCTGCATACCATTATGTCTTGGTCTGGTTCAGAATCAAGGTATATACAGCAGTGTTTTTAATGGAACTACTAAATTCCTGGACTCTTTAAAAGAACTGTGAAAGAATTGAGTTTAAAGGACATGCTCAACTTAGGCAGCTTTGTAGCAAATGACAAAGTATTCCTAATGCAAGACAACTTAGGGTGGTCACTCACTTAAAGTAGTCCTAATTGATTAACTCAGAGATTGATGATGTATGCATGATGATGGCTGGATACATTTTAGATTGAGCTGGGGATGGTAGCAGAGAACACCCCTTCTTCCTCCCCCCAAGTCTCAGGTGGGTTAGAAGCATAGCTGGCTGCCAGGGAGTAAATTAGGGAGATATCAATAGGCCACAGAGAAGAGTTGAGAAGCTTAGGTTCTATTACAGCTAGAATGGAGTAAAGCAGTGTTTGAGAAAGTCGTTTCACAATATTTTTGAGAATATATTAGTCATCCAATAGACGCTGTACAGATCAAAACCAGTAAACTAATGTTTAGGTGGCCTATCCAAAGGAAAAGCAAGATACAAGGTGAAATTAAATAAAAAGTCGCAATACAGCAAGGCAAGGTATTCACAATTAAAGGCTGAGTTTTAGAGAAATTGTTTTCAACATTGAGAGTGAACATAATATATAAGCCATGCTGGGCCTTCACCCAGTGCAGTGTTGAGAGTAGCCGCAAAATGTCTTCTCATGCTGATCCCGACATGTTTTTTGCTTAGCCTGTCAGACCTGTGAAATTCAGTTCTCTGATACTGGATCTCCTTTAAACACTTCTGCTATGATTAAGTGGTTGGACTGTGAGTCTAGGTAACTTTCAGGGTGCAGGACAAGTTCTTGTGAACTTGTTTGGTCTGGCAAGGTGGCTCCATGTGAGCCTTATAAGGTAAACCAGACAAAGAAGTAGACACCCTGGAGACCAGTTCTTTTATTAAAACTATATTTTGCAATATGCTTCCTTTTCTCTCTCTTTTATCTTCATGAAAATTGAGGAAGGAGTGCTATCTGAGATGTTTGTGCAAACCAATTTCTTGGCTTGGGCTCAAGTTTTGTTTATCTGATTGTTGCTTTGTTAGCATATTTTCTCTTGTCCTTGAAGGCCATCCACTATATTCACTGCACTATAATACTGTAGGAATCTTTAGTGATATGGCTGTTGTCCCATGATGCTTCTGGTTCTACTTGATCTCAATCCTCCTTTGAAGAAACATATTCTAGGATCTTCTCCCATTCTAAGAAGTAGCGTGGGAGCCAGCTTTAGATCAGGTCTGAAGGTGATGAGAGTAGAATCTAAATATAAATGCCATGTCCAAGACTGTAAGAACTATGTCCTCCCTTATGAATTTCTGTGAATAAGTAAAAAAAGATGGATCTGGGGGAAATTTATGGATTGTCATTTTTCTCAGCTTAATTTTCTTTTTTTATTATGGTTGCACTTTGGTTTTAATTGATTGTTTGCTATTCAGAGTCAGTAATTTGAGATGGGCAGCCATTGAATGAATGAATGAATGAATGAATGAATGAATAATTTGGGAGATGATGATAAGTGTTGGTGTTTTCCTGTGTTGGTCCCTTCCATTCTAATGCATACATACTGTTAAGTCTTGGTTTTAATCTTTTTTCCCTGTTTTAATTACTCTGAGCTAGTGGGTAGGAAAAAAGACCAGAATCTAACCTTAATCAGAGTCGTGGCTCCCACCCCCAAATTTTTGGCTCTTAATTAAAGAACATATTAAATTAAAATTAGCATGTAAATCGAACCTTCAGATTAAGGAAAATAATTTGCAGAAACAAATGAGATTCTTTTTGTATAAATGTTACAACCTATAACTACTTCATAGATTCATCTGTCTTAGATCAGACTTTCTCAGCAAATTTCATATTTGTGGTCTTTGTGCCTGAAATATCCCAGCCAGTCAGCTGAATAATTCTTGGAGTTGAAATCCTTATATCTTAAAATTGCTGAAGTTGAGAAACACTTAGATCACTCATTACTTTTGCATTTTTCATTCTTTTTTTTTCCATCAGGCAACCAGGTGTTTGAAACAAGAAATCTTAGGATTTACTCAAATAATTCAGTTCAACGACTGCTACTGGAATGGGATGTTAGTGATTACTCTGAAGCATATAATTCCGAAATAGACATTGTTTTTAACATCCAAATTCGTTTAAGAGAAGAAAATGGAACAATTATTTTGAATGTAAGTATCATTTTCAAAATGGGGCTCAGGAATTTATATCATCTTCCTCTTGAATCCAAGTCTTCGGTGGAAACAAATCTTCAAATTCAACCTAAATCCAAACTAGATGCATAGATTTTAGAGGTGGGAGTTATTTACCTGGTCCTTAAGATGCTCTCACTTCTTCTTCTTCTTTTTTTTTTGTTAAAGAGCAAGTTCTCGTAGCTGAAACAGGAGGCAAAATAGGAATTTGCTATTCTGCCCATGTTATGAGAAATGCCTGTTCCTGTATTTCTGTAGTTTTTCCTAATGCATAAATAACGTTACAGGTAATCCTCATTTCACCTGGTTTAACAATCATTTACAGTTCTGAAGTTGATGAAAAATAAACTTTTATGACCAATTGTCACATTTACATCTTTGCCAGTCTGCAAAGCAAAGCAAAGCTGAAATCAGATCATAAGCTCGGTTGCAGTTTAGTGACCGCTCCATTTAGTGACCAAATTGCCAATCCCAAGTGTGGCTACTAAACACAGGCTATCTGTAGCAAAATTCCACCTAGAGAAACAATGCCCTGATCAATTTTTCACAGAATGGCATATGACCCAAAAAAAACCTTCTGGAGGGAAATAATTGTTGTCCCCTTAAAAGAATTCTAGACTTTTAGTGTAGGTGTGATTGGAGAGGTAGGAGTAAGCAGGGCTTTTTTTGTTATAGAACACCCAGAACGGAGTTCCGGCACCTTTTTGGGATGGAACCTTGTAGGGTAGGCAAGGCGGGTTGTATGACATGTGTGACTTCCCGCACCTTTTTTTTTTTTTTTTACAAAAAAAGCACTGAGAGTAAGTTTATTTATTTTGAGAGTACTGGAATTTTAAAGATTGGGAAAAGATCATGCCATTGCTTGCAAAAGAAAGTCTATCATTGTTACATTGAAGTGGCAAGAAATGAGATAGCAAATCAAGAGTGAATTATGTTAGCTTTGCAAGATAGTGCAGTGTTGTTCTACAGATAGTCCTCAAGGTACGACTAATTGCTTAGTGACCAAAGTTATGTCTTATCAGAAAAAAGGGAGTTATGACACAGTTCCAAAGTTCCAAAAGTCACCCCCAGGGTCACATGAATTGCACTTTGGATGTTCGTCATGCATTTACAACTATTTGCAGCATTTTGTAGTCACATAACTTTGTGTTACGGTGGTTTTGCAGACAACCAGAAGTTACTTTCTGTTTTTGGCAAAACCACATCATAGCAAATGATGGGTTCGCTTAATGATCACAGTGTCAAGTCCCAGCTGAAAAAGCCCAGTCAAGCAAAACACCAGAGTCATGGCATTTGCTAATGTAAACTTTTATTGGACAAGAATCAAACCAGCATAATTGAATTAAAGCTAGCTCTGAGGAAATAGCAGGAAACAGATAATTAAAAGAGTAAAATTCTCCCTCCTCTCTCTGACTATTCAGGTCACATTGTCCAATACATTTTCTGGTAATTGTTCACCAAAACAACTCATCAGCTCTCACGGGGATAAGAGATGCCTGTAGACCAGTGGTTCTCAACCTGTGGGTCGGGACCCCATTTGGGGTCAATCGACCATTTCACGGGGGTCGCCAAGCAAGGCTGTCCACCATTTTTTTTGTCCACCATTTTTTTTTGTCTGCCATTTTTTTCCCTTTTCCGGCGGGTGCTTTACCTCCCTTGGGCTGGGCCAGCTGGTGGTCGGCCTGCTCCGTCTCTGCCGCTTGCCAGCTACGCCTCGGCCAGCGCAGGGGGTGGAACCACGCATGCGTGGCGCTCCCGGGCAGGGAAAGTCCTCGACTTACGACCGGTTGGGTAGTCCTCGACTTACGACCGGTTTAGTCCTCGACGTACGACCGGTTTAGTCCTCGACTTACGACCGGTTTAGTCCTCGACTTACGACCAGTTGGGGTCGCGGCATTAAAAAGGTTGAGAACCACTGCTGTAGACCCTGAACTCTCCCAAACCCCGCCCCCATTCTGTTGGCAAGCAAGAAGAATTACAGTGGTCCTAAAGGCAGTAGATTTCGTAGCTTGACACACAGTGTCCATTTAACAACTGTGCAGTTTATTTTATGACTGCTGCATTTGCTTAATGATAGCCCTAACAAAGGTCAAAAATGGTCATTTTACAACTGTCATGACATACAACTATAATGAGAAGGCTCCGTTATGGTGATATGTCAAGGACTACTTGTATTTTATGAGAGAAGAAGCAGAGAGGTGTGTAATAGCTGACTTATATAGTCTTCTAATGTTTTTAAGGGAAATATCTTGGGAGTGGGAAGAGGTTGCAGCTGATTGGAAAACAGTGAAGATGATTAAGGGCCAGATAGATTTGTGAAATATAAATATACATTGTCAACAAAGCTGCATGTGAGGTTTTCTTACCACAGCCAATACTGGTTTTAGATGTCAGTTATATTTCAAGCAATAACACTGTCAAAAAAGAAGGAGTCCAAGGCATTGCTCTGCTTCATATTTTGTAGTCAGTATCCTAACCCAAATGGTTCTGAATTTTGCTATATTTGTCTGTCAGTCTGTCTATCTCATTCATCAACTATTTATTTATTTACCAGTTTTATCTGCCATCCTAACCAAAGTCAGTGAGCATTCCAGTGCGTAAAATTTTACACCAGTAATTCAAAATTCATGGCATCCGGAATACAGAAAGAGTGAAATCAAAAGACCCAAAGTCTATTGTCTCATTGGTTTGGGTTCCTTTTTTAATTAGCTTTTCTTATGGTGTACTTTTAGGTGAATTATACAACAGTTCTCAATCAAGCAAGACAACATCACCAATGGAGTTTTATCTCTGAGATACCCTTGCAGTGTGCAACTCATGAAGCCAGAATAAGGAGCAAAGTGGTGTCTTCTAAAATTTGGAGTAACTGGACTGATTGGGTA